CCTAATATGCAAATATGTTCTTCCATGCAGACAACCATTTCCACTGTGCACAAGTCAGTTCTTAGTCAGCTCAACAGAAAATGAACTATTATAAAGAATGATTTTAATTATACGTCTTCTTCTTATTAACATAACCTTTTCCTTTTTTTTTCTTTTTTTTTTCGGACATTTCGATCATATCGTTGATTGAATTGCAGTTATCGAGCTTTTTTACTATTAAATCGACACACGTAAGTATTGCCGCTAATGGTAAAATTAAAAAAATCCGATCTGCAGTCACCTTCCAGATGTTGAAAGGAATTAATTTACAAATTTGCTATGGAATAATCGAATGGCTCGACTTATAGATTTATCCACAATTATTCACAAATGGTGTATTGACACGTTTCCAACGTGTCAATATATAAAGTTATGAATGACTCAATAAAAGGACTATCCGATGGCTTTATAGGATTTTTGTATTAATTTAATAATTTCAATAGAATTGTAAAAATAAATAGCATTTTGAGTGAAGCACGAACTCATACTTTTAAAGAAGCTCGGCACAAAATGTCTTTTGGCCGGTGACACGTGTCAGATAGGAAGGGCTTAGATGGGGGGCCGAAAGTTTTACTTACGTACATCGTACGGCTGGTATCCATTTGCAGTTGTTAACATATTTACTACTATTATATGGCAGTTCCTTACATTACATTATTGTTTTTAGAACTGACGAGGAGTGGTCAACGTCATTGGTCATGTGACTTGTCGCATCAGATTATAATCATATTAGTCCTAATTAATTTGTTAATTAAGTTAATACAATGATTAAGTTCATATCAACATATATATTGATAGATTTTATTTCAGTTGATTTAAGAAGACAAAATCTCAGTTGTCGTTATCTAAGTATCGATACGTTAATAATAATAATAAATTTTATTTCATTTAATGAAATAAAATGAATGGCGCATAATTAATTAGTTATCTGAAACAGCTACGGTTTTTTTACGGTACCATCTCGTTGAGTCTTTTAATCTTGGATCATCTATCTTATCTAATTACATGTAGATTCAACAGTTAAAACACCTGTCGAGATAGTATCATAACGGACCGTAGCATTTCCTTAGTTATCATTCTTGTCAACAGTAAAATTTATATAAAATGAAATAAATTTTGGGCTGTTATATATATATGTATTTTTTTTTTTTTTTTTTGGGTAATTGTTGAATGTGAGGACTGTGCACAGTACTAAAAGAACACATGGAAAGGGTAGGTAATTAAGGTTCGTGTCATTTAATTCCTTGTACGAAATCACATATATGGAAAGGGAATAAAAATAATT